AGCAGGGCCCGGGACAGGAGAAGACTCGCCGCTTGCCCTGCGGAGGCTTCGCGCTCGGTCTCATCGCCCCTTCCCGGCTCCCCTGGCCGCCGACCCCGAAGCTCCACTCAGCCGGGGGCGGCCGCGGCAGAGGCCGTCTCCCTCGGTCCCCTCTTCCCGGGCATCCCTCGCCTGCCCCGCCGTACCTAGCAGGGCGTCAGGAGGGGTGCTGAGGCCTCGCCGCATCCCGGAGAGCCACTGCGGTAGCTCTCCTTTCTGCGTCTCACCTCGCATCTTTTTTTATCAATCCTGTGATTTCTGTGGCTGTAAAAGAATACTAACAGACTTGTCACGTCAGCTTTCATCAGGGACCATTACTGTCACAATAACAGACACATGGTGAAAGGAAAACCTGAGGCAAGCCCAGATCTGAATACCCTAATACTACACTGACTCACATTTATACTACAGAGATCATACGGGATGGTCCCAGACAAGAAACTATCAGCAACAGAGGGTTAAGCAGGACTCAAAACACTGGGATCTCATTCCCAATTCTGCCACCTCTAATGTAAACACCCACTTCAGTGTGACTCCATTTTTTGCCTTTTAAGAAGGAGTCTTAAAATTTTCCATTCCCCTGTGGGCACTGTAATGCTTCTTTGATATGATGCAGAATTGGATGCTCAGACAATAAAAAAGGCATACAAGTATTACCGAGCTGAAACAAAAGCTTGCAAATTAGTGACTGCTGGGACTGCGCTTTAAAAAGCCGTGTGTGCCAAGGAATCTCAGTGATGGAAAAACCCAACAGCCTAAGAAAAACATATGATAGGAATAGGAAAGGAGCTAGTAAGAAGCGAAGTAGAAAAGTGTGAGGGAAGAAGAGCCTGAAATGGTTAGTCTGTCCCCTCTTCAGGGCTAATGTTAGACTATTCCCATAAAGACATTCTCCAGTATAGCTTCACCCACTCGAGGATATTTTTGAAACTTGGTTAGGAACTGGGAAGGAAGCAGAGGCTTAGCAATGGCATTGGGAATCCTGGTCTGCACTGGTGAGATGACAGGGACAGCGTGCTCAGGGCCCTGAGGTTTGCCAAGCAGTGGTACCCCTGTGCTCAGGGAGCACACGTGGCACAGCAGCACAGTGCAGAGGTACCCAGGGCACACTCAGCACCAGCCGGTAAAGCAGTCCGGAGAGATATCTGTGCTTACCCCAGCAGCCCTGGGTCCTGTGCCCAAGCTGGCAGATCTGCAGCTAGTTGGGGTTTATTGCATTTTGCCATAAAACGCATTCATTGTGCAAAGGCAGACAAATGCTCTGAAAAAATCCAGAAGCTTACATACTGCACACACACCCTGTGCCATAGCACACAAAAAGGGACTTGTTTTCGTGAGTTCACCATCAGAAAATCTCAGCTTTGTCTTCAGGTAAGACTTGGGACTGGACCCTTCTCCTTTCAAACTGCTTTAGCAGTGAGGATGTTTCAGGACCTGCACTGGAAACAAACGATTGTAAATACAGCCCTGTTTCAAACGGGATATAACAAAACAAGAATACAGCTTTGGGAGTGAGGGGACCAGAGGCACTTGCTAGTGTGTTTTCAGAGGCTGCTTTGCCTCTTGACAGCATAAAAGAAACATGAAGAGTCTGGGCTTTATGAACCACCTGGCTGCAATCTCTCAGCTCCTTGGCTCCCCAAGGCAGCTTTAGGGCCAGGTTCTGTCTGAAGCCTTTTTATTGGGAGATACAATTATCTTAATAAGGGAACAATTTTCTCTTTGGTCAAATTGAATCATTCCAGCTTGGAGAAGGCTGTATTTTTTACTGTTGATTTTAATGGCTAAATTTAGCTCATGCAGCCCTTACTGCAGTATGATGACTTTCTCTTCAACAGCCCTATTTACAACAGTTTTTATTCCTGACAACTTGATTCTGCAGCACAGCAAGGCCTGAACTGCATTGACAAAGACAAGCCTGCAGAACAGTCTGGAGGACTCCTGGGGCTGAGCTTGCTTATCCTGCAGAAACAAGCCGTGGGATGGCATAGGAGCCTTGTTCTGGCAGTGGAGGAAAGCATCTCACATTCATATGAAGCAAGGTAAATTTAATCTGCTCTAGCATAAGAGGATCCAAGGTTCTGCTGAAAAAAAAGCGGGTTGACTTGATAGCTGAAATTGACCACGTGCATCCCCAGTCCAAGCTGCCCATCTGGTTTCATACAGAAAGTTCAGTATGAGGGCAAACTGGTTTCACTTCAGGAAGAGCAACATTTAATTCCCTCGCAATTCTGATTATGAAATGCTCTGGGAAATTTCAATGCTGAGTTGGAGCAACATCACCATGGTAATAACCAGGAGGCCTTAAAATTTTATTTGAGACAATTCAGAAAAAATATCCTGTGACATAATCCCCCAAGTTAGGTCTGCAATGCACTAATGTAAAAACTATATTTACTCCACTGGTTTAAATCATTACTTTAATCTTGGTTGCTCCCGGTATTGAAATGTGACCTCATGGTATAGATTACAGAAACTCTCTGCCACATGGATCATCAGAGCAGATTTCTTTCTTGCATAGTACAGGGCTGAAGTCACGTTGTATGCCAGGGCCCTGCACAGGGGCTGGAGGGAACCTTTACCCAGGGCTGGGAACACTTCAAATGCTGCATGCTTTATATAAAATATCCACTCAACAGCTGTGGGGCCTTGGGAATTTGAAATGCCAGCTTCATAGGAGGAGAAACAACTACTGCTACTGAAACAGCACCATGTAAATTAGTTTATGTCATCAGGTCACTTGTTTAACAATGTGACTATAGGAAATACACACATGACCTATTATTCTTCTTCTTGCCAGCTATCAGATTTGAGCACTAGAGAAAGGAAAGGAAAGAGGGGAGAGAGGGAGAAATACACCTCTTTCTATAGAAAAAGAAACTTTTCAAAGGCCAGATCTTCCACAGAAACCACCTGTAGCTGGGCAATCCCAGTGTGGATGCTCTGAACACCATGGTTTGTGCCCTGAAACAAAGCGGGGTGGTAACCCCGTCATTGGAGCTGACAGGTCTCCCTCATGAGTCACTGAGATAATCTGCTCCCCAGCAGGATGCCTTAACACATCCCCAGCAGGAGGGTTTCAAATCTCCTCTCAAAACATACTTAAGAATAAAACCTGCCTCTTGCTTCTCCTGCCAGGCAGCATTTCCAGTCACGCTTTGTACCCTGTCAGCCACAACACAGCGCCTCGTCATGCACATCATCTCCTCAGCATTCTGCTCCAGGAATTAATTTCCACAAGGAAGTGGGAAGGAGTTGCAGCTCCTTCTCCACTATAGTTCACATCCTGAAACAACCATTTTTATACTAATAATAAAATCATTCAACTAACTGCAACCTAACAGATACCGGCATACAAATAGGAAAGGACAAAACAAACAGGCAATCAATACGAGCTACTTCTGAAAGCAGAAGATAAGTCTTCTCATCTTTTTCTCTGCATGCACACACACATTTGATTTGAACTTAAAATTGTACCTTTCTGACAGGAGGAGTTATTCAACAAGGCTGAATTGAAACCCACTCTGAGTCTGCTGCCTAGAAAATAGCAAACTGTTGGTAGTTACTGTCGTAAAAAAATAGCAGCACCATCGAGTGCAGCTTAATTCAGGAGCCAAACCTCTCTCAAGTGCACAAGTGCATTTACACCAGGGAATTGCTTGACAAGATACTTGCAAGGCCTATGTGCTTAAGGCTGTCGTATCCTTTTTCTTATGTATCTGGTTGGATACGCTTTATCTTCCTTCCCAGTGTTTCTAGACAGGACTTCAGCAGCCTTTTAATACTTTTTCTTTAAGAAAAAAAAAAAAAAAGTAAAGCCAGCCCCAGCAGCTGACTGCCTGAGGGTAATCCTACAGTAAGGATCATACACCCACATGCTCACAGTCGGGCATCCAACCGAGCAACACGCAGCCAGCGTTTTAAATGCTTGACATGTCCCCTGAAATATTTTCCTAAAGACAGACCCTGCATGCTCCCTGGGACGGGTATCACCACCCAACCCGCCCAGTCATCCTGCTGTGCTGGGCCCCAGCAGCCCGCCCTTGCCACCCTGAGGGGCATCCTACCTGGTGGCAGGAGACCAGGGAGAAGCCAATAAGGCATGAGGGACCTCCCCTGCAGCACTTACCATGTCTGGGAGGGCAGATATGTTCAGCAAGGCACCAGTGAGTGGTGCCTGGAGGCTCAGCCCCTTGCTGGGGTGTTTGCAGGCAGGTTATGAAAAATTATTTCTACAAGCCCTTTCCACAAGGAAGCTCTTGCTGATGTACCAGAGAGTTGCTAGGATGGGTAAGTTCTCTGGGGAATGCTTTGAACTGGATGTGTTTAATGCATACATTATAGGTGCATGGAAGGTTTTTTACTTCTCCCCAGGCAATCTGCCACAGGAATGGTGCCACCTTGCCACATATTTAGGTTTTAAGATACTTTTCTAGAAAAAATAACTTTTTAAGAGAAAAGGTTTGTCTCATCTTTATAGAGACTTGGCCATTTTAGCTGAAACATTTCCTTCTAAGTCAACCTAAAGTAATAAGGCTGCTTAAAAATTTAATCCAGCTAAGTTGGCAATTGGCTTCATAGCCCAATCCTCCCTTCCTCAGCCCATCCCTGAAACCTGGCTCCGGCTCTTCCCTGTCTTCCAACTGCAGCTACTGCTCCCTCTTCCTCAGTCACAGCCACCACAGTTTCAGCAACACCCGTGTGCACTCAAGCCCACCAGCCCAGAAACGCTTACCGGCTGCAGGACACTGTGGTGTTCACCATCCCCAAAGGCACCTCTTGCTAGCTGGGAACTGACCTGCAACATAAAGAACTTCACTAAAGTGTTAGCCTTATGAAGCCTGAGCATTGTTACTTCCATTGAGTATAACTATATAATCTACACATATATTTCTAAACTATAAATCAATGCAATGCTGAGTCATTTCAGTGGAATGGTCACAGGTGTAGGATACTGGAGATGTAAACCTGCCATGGATTTTCACTGCGATGCAAGTCACTGAATTGGATGTTTCAGCTTCCCAGCAAGGCATGAGCGCAACTCAGCCAAGGGCAGTCAGGTCAGGCTTGGGTTGCTTTACAACGAAGACTGTAAAGATCAAAGTCAGGGTTGGTAGGATAGATGAGTTGAAATGAGGAACTCCCAGAAGCAGAGGAGCCAGCTGAAGGTGGGACTGCAAGTGTAGGTCCAGACAGGAGGGAGCAGGAGGACAATAGAGTCACACGCTTGCCCCAGTCAAGAGCTGAACCAAGGCTGGAGTAATGGGAGCAAGGGACAGTGTTTGGGATGGAAAACCCAGCAGGAGGCCATACAGCATGCTGCCTACAGGGCATTTAGCCCTCTTCAGACCTCACTTCTCCCTGCCATGCTATGATGAGATCTTGGGTCCATTTCCCCCAAGTGCAGCAGCCAGCACTGCAAGGCGAGGATGTACTCACAGCATGACTGCAGGTCATGACAAACACTTGTCAATACTTGGGAGGAGCTCATGATACAACACGGTTAATCTAAAGTGTGTCCATTCAGAGCTCCTACTCCCTCACATATCTTGCTTTCAGTCTTGCTTGACTTTTTATGAGCTGCAATAAATCCTAAAAACTTCTGTCCACTGCCACTAGGACAAACTACTGACTAAAATGTCTGACTGTATCAATGCTCCTCACAGAAATATGTTATTTTATTCTCTGTATTGAATTTTTTAATTGTAAAAAGAAATCAGTACGAAATCAGTGTTTCAGTAGCATGTGACAGGATAACAGCATTTGGCTGTCATCACACCACTAACAATAAATGTAGTAATAAAACTCTGTTTTCAAAGAGAGCTGCAAAATGTTCCCTGATGAAAACCACTACATTAAATTTCCCTTGTTTGGCCCGACAGGCATCAGAAGGGATGACAGCTTTTCCCAGTGCTGCTACTGACGTATCAGGACACAGCGCTACAAGGATACAAGATAAAAGTGCAGTTTACACAACTGCAGATCAGTGATTGCAGAAAACTCAGGTGTTTTAAAAATGAAACTGTACTTCTAACAAATTAAGAGACTGATTG